CCCCCCCCCCCTGCCACAGGTCCAGGAGGGTCTCCAGCTCCCTGGGGGTCCAGGATGGGGCTCGGCACAGGTCCAGGATGGGCCTCTGGGGGCTTCCTCCCCTGCGGGTGCAGGTGGCTCACCACCCGGGGCTGCCATGCTGGGCTCAGAGGTGCCTGTTGGGCAGCACAGCGGCACGTGGCAGAGCTCAAGCTGCACGCTCTCCGGCAGGCTCCTGCCCCGGGCGGGGGCTCCTATGGGGTCTCGCGGCGTCCAAACCGCTTTTTTCCGTTTCTTCTGCTTTTCCGGAAAAGCTGTCTACACTGGCCCTTTTCCGGAAAAGCTTTTCTGGAATAAGGACTTATGCCCGAGCGGGAACAGTGTAGGGTTTCCGGAATAACGGCTGATTTTGTACAGTACAGTGTCGTTGCTTTTCCGGAAATTCAAGGGGCCAGTGTACACAGCTCGCAGCTTATTCTGGAAAAGCGGCTGATTTTCCGGAATAAGTGGCCCAGTGTAGACACAGCCCTAATGTGACCTCATCAGTGCTGAATAAAGGAGAACAATAACTTCTCAAGATCTGCTGGAAATGCTCCTCCTAATGCAACCTAATATTCCATTTGCCTTCTTGACTACAAGGGCACGCTGTTGACTCATATCCAGCTTCTCATCCACTGTAATCCCCAGGTCCTTTTTGGCTGAACTGCTACTTAGCCAGTCCGTCCCCAGCCTGTAACAATGCTTGGGATTCTTCTGTCCCAAGTGCAGGACTCTGCACTTGTCCTTGTTGAAACTTATCACATTTCTTTTGCCCCAATCCTCCAATTTGTCTAAGTCGCTCTGGACCCTATCCCTGCCTTCCAACATATCTACCTCTCTTCCTAGCTTAGTGTCATCCGCAAACTTGCTGAGGGTGCAATCCATCCCCTCATCCAGGTGATTAATAAAGATATTGAACAAAACCAGCCCTAGAACTGATCCTTGGGGCACTCCACTTGAAACCGACCATCAACCAGATATCAATCCAATGATCACTAGCCTTTGGGTCCAACATTCTAGCCAGTTTTCTATCCATCTCACAGTCCATTTATCCAATCCATACTTCCTTAACTTGCTGGCAAGAATATTGTGGGAGACTGTATCAAAAGCTTTGCTAAAGTCAAGGTATATCACATCCACTGACTTCCCCATGTCTACAGAGCCAGTTACCTCATCATAGAAGCTAATCAGATTGGTCAGGCATAACTTGCCCTTGGTGAATCCATGTTGACTATTCCTGATCACTTTCCCCTCTTTCAAGTGCTTCAAAATATCCTATTTCTTATTTTCACCTTTGTTTTTATTTGAGTTTCTTTATTTCAGTGAATAATACTAAAACCAGTAGTTGAGGTTATTTTTTTTAAAAAAGGCATATTTACTCATTACAGAGTTTAGGTGTTTCCTAGAGAGAAAATACACTTTAGCTACTACAAGTTATTCATTTTTTCAAGCTTTTGTTTATTGATCAGTAGCTTAACACTTATCAACTGTACCTTTGTCACTTTGTGGAGTAAGCTATTAGAGGTCAAACTAAAGCACCAAATGATTTTTGTTAGTTTATACTTATAAGACTGATATCTGTTGGACAATTATTTACCTTTGACATTTACTTTGGAGAATCAGGATATGACACTCTGGCATTCACACTCTCTCGCAGCTGCCGAACAAAATTAATGATATAAAAACTGCCATGATCCAAGCTTTTGTATGTCAGAGCAGAGAATTTGAGGTGATATGGGTGACTCCTCTCACTGTACCATCAGAAGCTTGAACATCAGATAGATATCACAAATAGCTCATCTTCAATTACTGAATGAAGGATGATAATGGCCAGTGATATCAATGGGACTTGTTAAGCGCATGCTAAAACTTAAGCATATTTGTAGGTGTTTTGCTGAATTTTAAATTTAAAAACATTGACAAAATTTACAAAAGAAATCTGATAGAACTTTTCCAAATGTTCATCCATCTCTAGATGAGATTAAGGACAGTGATATGACTGAACTCAGTTAATGAATGACTGGCATTTCATAGAAAAGTAAAAATTCTAAGCAATTTGGGCTGACATCTTAGTGGTCTATGATTAACATAGACACTTAAGAGAGATTTGTCTCTTCCTCTCCCCTTCTTTTATTTTAATGCTCTTTATTTACTTTTGAATATTATGATGAACCTGGTATTTTGGTGTATTGGAAAAAATAATTTAAAAATATAAAAAAAGAAAAGAAAAGAAAAGAAAAGAAAAGAAAAGAAACACAATTTATTGTTAGCTGTTTCCTACCTGCAGTGTCTTATGGATCCAAATGCTTTTGTACACAGAAAAAAATCAAAATATTTGTAAACGTTAGTGACAGGAATATAAAACATTAAATAAGCTTAAAAGCATCTTTCAAGTGACAATTTCATCAGTAAAGTATTTATAAAATTAAAGTCAGATACAAAGTAATAATATTAGTACGTGCCAATAAAACACAGCTATATAATGGTTGCCATTAAAAAGTCCTTTTGCCTACATTGCCCACATAGTGGTATTTGAGATTATCAGTTTTTATAATTAGAATAGATAGTGACTGTGTTAGCAAATTCTGACTTTCTAGTGGTGTAAAGTACACTCAGGCCCACCAGCGGAGGAGGAGGGGCAAAAGGGGTAGTTGCTCTGAGCCCGGAGAATCAATGGAATGCTGCTTCACATGAGGTGGAGTGAGGTGTGCGATGATCTGGGCAGCATTAAGGGCTGACTGTCCTCGACTCCACCCCTTCCATGGGTGCGGAGTCAGGCCACACTCACACCTTGCCCCAGGGTCCGCAGTAGCTGTTGGCCCCACTGACTATACTTGACTGAACTTACCTATGTATAAATATAATCTTTTTATGACTGATTCTTCTTGGACACTAGCAAAGGACTAACCAAACACAAACATAAAAGCAGGGCACTTAAACATACAAAACTTAAAAGCCAAACACAGAAGACAGAAAATAGTAATATAGTCACAAAAACCTGCTACTACCACTAATTTATTTCTGCATTGTGAGTATCAATATATATTACCCTTAGTACTTGATATTCTTCCACATGTTTAGTCTACACTTAGAGGCAGCCGCCAATTTAGATGAAGTGAACAAATCTGTTCAGTTTGACCAATTATACTTTCTCATACTGGCAAACTTCTAAAAGTACATTACAAGAGTGTACAAAATAACAGGGATTGTTGCCCTGAGCAAAAAATAAGAAATTGCCTTTTATTTATAGTTAAATTTTACCTAAGCAGAGTTTTCTGTCAATTCAATCAGATATCACCCTACAGCAAGTGAAAAAATCTCAAGTGGAATCAAAGAATTATGTTCCAAGTCAAAAGACAAACATCTCATCAAGTCTAAATAACGTCCTGGCAACGTTATAATATGATATATAATGGCAAAAATCCTGCAACCTTTTTTTGGTATGGATGCCTTATGGGTACAACCAGAAGACCAGCATTTTTGCAGGCACACCTGGAGCTGTCTTCAAAAATTTGTTAGCACTTTGCCACTTATACTGCTGTGCTAAGCCATGAAGGTGAAAGTGAGTGGGTGAAAATATGCAAGTTATGCTGCTAGACTTACACAAGATAATGGATATTTCCACTGCACCTGTTGCCTCAAATGTGTGATGTATCGGTTTATTATAAATACTATCCTGTAGGAAAAACATTGGGGATAAGCCAGGGTTTCTCCAACCATGGGCTCGGACCCAAAATTGGGTTGCCAGAATGTTTCAAAGGGTCGTATGGCAGCTCCTCTGGCTCCTGTCCCAGAGGGCAGGCTGGGCACACCTGCCTGCCCCTGGCACAGCAACTTGTGAGGTCTCAGCATCACTCAAGAGTGGCCCAGCCGTCATGGTGACAGGTAGGCCAAACGTGAGTGAGTAGCCCTGCAACCCGCTGAGCTGCGTCACAGCTCCTCTCACACAAACTTAGTTCAATCAAGGTGATGGGGCCAACCTGAGCAGCCCTGGAGATTACACCGCACAGAGCCAAGCCTAGCTAGCCTCACAGCACGGGAGCTGCCACTGTAGGAAGAAGCAGGACCCAACCACCCAGGGCTTCCATGCTCAGACTGTTTACCAGATCATGGGGCAGGCCATAAATATTTATAAAGGGGTCCGGAGCTCAAAAAGTCTTTTACACAATGGTTTTCAACCAGTCATGTTTCCCTGCCAGAAGAATAAAAAAAAACCTTTCTAGTCAAGTAATAATTAGATAGGGATTGTTGTTTCTCTACATTTCATAGAGCACCTGGCCGATCAGGGCCCTGAGAAGATGTTCCTTTCTCTTTTTCAATTGTCTGATTTTATATTCAAGATTTTTATGTATTTGTTTATTTATTTAGCTTAGTTTTTCCTGTATATGTGAAATTACATCATTTCCTGTTTTCACCTTCAATGCTGTGACAGAAGATAATTTCATCCCCTTTTCTCTCTCTGTTTCCTAGGAAACTGATCTCATGACCTTTAATATTTCAATGCACCGTTCCTGGTGGCGAGAGCATGGGCCAGGCTGCATAAGGAGAGTGGTGCGCCCTTCAGCCCCTGGCATCCTAGATGATTACTCCTACGTCTCTGTGACGGGCTGCATCATTGACTTCCAGTATCTTGAAGTCATTCACAGTGCCATCCAAATATTACTGTCTGTAAGTTTCCACTTTCTGTTATCATCGGGTTTTACCACTCCTATGCTTCTTTATTATACAGGTCATATGCTATTGTTTCTCTTTACTGAAAGTGGATGGTTTCGGTAACTGATCAATCACAGTACAGATTTTAAGTTGCATATCTGAATATAAAACATGCCATTTTAAATGTGCACTGCACTCACAGGCTCATATTTCATAACATCCCTATACTGGGAACATGAGTGGTTCATAGTGCTGGACTGGTGTATGGAAGTAAGTTTCATCCCTACCAATCAAAGCTCAGTCACTAGAACATGGGCAGAAAGGGTACACTGATGTGCAGCAAATGAATTTATCTAAAACGTCTACCCCGTGTTTGCAGTAAATGGAGTGGAGCATCATTCTTAATATAAATCTGTCGTAGGTGGTAACTAGCTTCCTAATGCAAACAAAGAACATTGAAAAAGGTCAGGGCAATTGTAGCAGAGTACTGTTGTACCTATGAGATTCTGTATCCTTCTGTAGGAATCTGGGGCATTCAAACATTTAACCTTATTGGGCTACTTCCTATGTAATTACCATACCACCCTGAAACAGTGCACCATTTAGTATAACAATAATAATAAATTAATTAATAATGTGTCATCAAGAGAAGCCTATTATCTATTAGATACTGCACATTGTTCTGGTAGTGTACTAGGAACATTTGCACTAGGAAAACAAACAGAGCAGTGGGGGAGACAGAATTTCTCCAGAGCAGTAGAAAAGATTTAGTTTATTTAGTTGAAAATTTCTTGGAAAATGTACATAACTGTGATTTTTATAAGATGTTGGTATATTTCTGTGCAGGAGGCATGGAAGTGGACGTCAGTACTGCCGCAGAGCAAAAAGATGTATAATTCTGCAAAATTGTTTATGGCAAAGTAGAAATAAGATCCCAGAATGCTTCCCTGAATTGTAGTGGAGAAATAGCTTTCTAGTAACAACACTGGCACCTGTGAGGTGCTAAGTATCTTTCACAAAATGCTTGTTAAGTGCTCTTTGCTCTTACTGATTTAAATTTAAATTGAATGTAGTCAACATCTTACAACAACTTTAGTGACATTGATCCAAAACTCACAGAAGTCATTGATTTATTTACAGCTTTCATTGATATTAATGTCTAATGTCTCCTCAGCTTCTCAGTGTTAGATGACACTCTAAAAGAGTGTCATCTACATATTTTGTTAGTCCATAAAGTGCTACCAGACCATTCGTTTTTTAAGTTTATCCTGTACAGACTAACTCGGCTACCCCTGAAACGTCGAAACCAGTGTTTCTTAAACTGTGTGTGCCGCAGAGAACAACAGAGTTGAAAATGGCCATCCTTAAAGGGGGAGGCGACTTTTTTTTCAATAACTTCCCCCCATACCCTTTTTTTTTTTTTTTTTTTTTTTTCAACAAAAAATCCTTGGTGTTCCTCATAAAAAAATTATTTATTGGTGTTTCTTGGTCTTAAAAAGTTTAAGAAACACTGTTCTAAACTATAGAAGAGGTTCAGAGGGGTTGCCATGTTAGTCTCTAACTAAAAAAACTTAAAAAACAACAATGGTCCTGTAGCACCTTAGAGACTAAGCAGAAAATATGTAGACAGTATCATGAGCTTTTGTGATCACAACACACTTCTTCAGATAATAAATATGTAGCAAGAGGCACAGAGGTTCAAATATAAAGCAAAAAAAGAGGGGAGAGAGGGAGGAGGAAAAAACTTGTCAATTAAAGTGTCCATGCTAAATGTGGCTAAAAGAGTGCTCTGTAAGTTCCCAATACTTAGCTTCTGATATTATTTGAAAACAATGGCCCATCCAGTTCATGTCTTTGTTCAGGCCATGATAAATAGTGTCAGATTTTCATATGAAGGCTGGTTCCACAGACTCTCTCTCTAGCTGATTTCTGAAATTATTTGTAAGAGAATAGCCACCTTTAAATCCATTAAGAGTGCCCAGGCAAATTAAAATGTTCTCCAACAGGTTTCTGTGAGTTACCATTTTGAATATCTGACTTGTGTCCATTAATCGTTTGTCGTAGAGACTGTCCAGTTTGGCCAATATACATGGCAGAGGGGCATTGCTGGCACTTGATGTCATAGATCAGATTAATGGATGTACAGTTGTATGAACCTCTGATGTGGTGACTTATGTGGTTAGGTCCTGTGATAGTGTTGCTTGTGTAGAGGTTTGGAAAGAGATGGCACCGGAGTTTATTACAGGGGTGGTTTCCTGGGTGAGTATGATGGAGGTGTGTTGCATGGTTGCTGCAGAGGATTTGTTTCAGGTTAGGGGGGGTTGTCTGTGGGTGAGGATTGTCCTGTCCCTCAAGGCCTCTGAGAGTGGGGGATTATTTTCCAGGATTGGTTGTAGATTATTAATGATGCACAGGTAGGGTTTAAGTTGGGGACTGTAAGGGTATGTCTACACTTGCTCCCTAGTTCGAGCTAAGGATGTAGCCAACCGAAATTGCTAATGAAGCAGGGATTTAAATATCCTGCGCTTCATTAGCATAATCGCACCCGCGTATTATTCCGCTCAACAGCTGATTCAAACCAGGAAGTGCGCTCCGGGACACGTTAGTTGGAATCAAATCCGTTGGTTCGAACTAACGTTACTCCTCAAAAAATGAGGAGTACTCATCTAACTCTGACTTTTTCATAAATTTTGTTGAAAGATGGTGTAGGACATTTTTACTTACCAGAAGATTATTTTCAGTAAATCAAAATGTTCAGTAGCAACTTTGATTTTATTAAAACATCAACAAAGATTATACAAAATCTTTTTTAGGGAAAAAAGAACCAAACTCAGAACGTTTGGAAGATGTTGACAATTTCTTTGGATTTTTTTTTAAATAAAGGGCATTTTTCATTAGAAAAAGTTGTGTGTGAAAGGAAGGAAGGAACTGTGTTTTTACTACCAAAATAGGTGTGTTTCTATAGTGAGATAATTAATATGCATTAACTGTCTTGTTGTACAGTCACAGTAAACACAATACGGGATATAACTAGGTGAGGTGAGCCCTGTACCTATATCCATGACTGAGTTTGCCTAGCTACATCACAGTAAAATTTACTATGCCTATCTCCACTTCGATTTTATAGCAAGATGGCTCATGAATGTTAGTTGTAAAAACACATCCTATTTTGGCAGTGAAGACAAAGTCAGATTGATGAGCAAGTTTTGGCACTAAAAAGAAGTCAGCACTAATTCTGTTGGCAGGTAGCCATCAACTGGATCTCAAAATACATCACTTAGGGCTTTTCTGTATGAGAAAATGTATTCCAGAACAACGGAAGAGTGAGAATTGAAAGCACTATATAACTATTCCTCAATAGCTCCCCCTGTGGATATTCTTAATCCAATATAGGAGTGCCTTTTTCTGGTTTAGTCTAATCTATTTACAAAATGGATTAAATTGAACTGGAAAAAGGTATTCCCATTCTGGAACAAGTGTCCACATGGAGAGTTATTCTGGAATAGCTATAGCAGAAAAGTTATTCCTGAAGAGCTCTTCCAATTAGTTACCTCCTTTCAATAATGCAACAATACTTCATTGAGCTGGAATAAGAGACTTGAAATTACTCCTGAATCCAGACCTCCACACAGAAATGTGAGAGAGCTCTATGGGCAAGCTGAAGGCTAACCTAATATTATAGCTTGTTTAGCAATGGACTTGTGCTGCCCCAGTACTCATCAAAATGTTATATTTTGTCTATTAGAGTTATCAACCAGGTAACCAGATTTTCATATATAGGGAAAACTATCCACTGATTAAAACCTATCTCTCTGGGGCCTGCAGACATTTTTCTTTTAATCATGTTGTAAAAGAAAGGAGGGCTCCAGAGAGATCCACCTAACCTCTTACCTGGTTCTCACCATTTTCACCTGTCTATCAGGGCACCAAATGAGGAACCCCCACACAAAATTATAAGGAAGCTATACTTTATTATCTATAGGATAAGGGAGGTAAAATGGAGTAGGGAAGGATAGAATAACTGGGTCTGGAAACTGGGAGTCACACACAACAACAACAGGCACAACAGAGGAGGGGTAGCTGATGTTAGGACTCCTGTCTTACCCAGATCCAGGGAAAGCTGACTTCAAGTCTCTCCGGATGACAGAGATCAGGAACAACTCAGCAGCAGTAGGAATTTAGGCTAGGCCCTAACTTGGAACCTACCCTAGCCCCTTTGTACCATCTCAGGTGTGTGTTAGCCCTGTCTAACATGATGATCTGTGCTTGGAACTGTGCTCCCCAATAATCAAATACCATTAGATATTACCCCACCTTACTAACAACTGACACTCCAAACCAGTGATCAGTTGTCTAAGCAGCACTCGCTGCCCCCTGTCAGTGAGCAGGCTGGAGGAAGAGAGCCCTGAGCGCTCTGAGCACCCCCTGTTGTGTAGCAACATTTTCCCACTCTTTCTCTGTTATCCCGCCTTTTCCTTGAGCAAGGAAGAAGACGACTAATCAAAATGGAGGCTCACCTGTTGTTTTGAACAAAACAAAATGGTGAACCCACAAATAAACAACTTAAGCCATCTCCGCTGAACTGATTACTAAAAAGGTCTAACATTAATAAAGAAGCCTGCATTAACAATGCTGTACATTGACAACTGTACTCTTCCATTACAATTTGTAAACTGAATGTGACCTGAATATAGAAAGGATTTTTTCCTAGACTATGTCCCAGGTGATTTGCAATATTCTGTGCATTATCCTGTTTAAATAGGAGACCATCAAGTTGGGATTGTGCTCTGTACACATTTGCTTCATCCCAGACTTCTGAAGTTTGTTGTAGCTCTTTGGTTTCCACTGCAAGAGAAGGTGTATGTCCATATGACCTCATTTCAGAGCAGCTCAGTAAAAGGCATATGCAAGATTGTCTAGGAATCTTGATTTGTGAAATTTACAGTCCATAAAAAGGGCTATGTTCTTTAGCTCCCAAAATAGCTTCAGTTTTAATGGCCTAATACCTTCTCCAT